TTCACAATTTTTAAGGAAAACATCTGCCCTGGCGTTTGTATTTACAATGAGATAAGAGAAAAATGGAAAAATGCTTGGTACGGGGATGAAATGAAGGGAGAAAGCGGAAGGAAGTGGGATATGAATTATGAATGTGGAGTATGTATTCATAAAATTGTAATTTACATCTCGGGTTATATTTAATTCATTCGAGATTCTGCTTTCAAATTTAAATACTATAATATATATATATATATATATATATATATATATATAGTATGTGTGTGTGTTTAAAATATATTATAATCATTGATTCTGCTAATGATCAATTTTTCCCATAGGCCTGAAAATCGTTTAAAACCTCCTTTAGACTCTCAAAATCAAATTGTCCTAATCGATTCGGTCCTTCTGTATAATTAGTAAGTAGTATTACTAATATGCAGCAATAATAATTTGTATTATGTATCATCAATTTTCTTTATCAAATATATAAAGTAGAGAATGGGATACGGGATTGTTTTGTGCACCAAATTTTTGGTTTGGTTGGACTTTGGAGCTCGGTCGCATGGAACTTGTAGTCTCTCAGTGTCATCTCTGCGATAATAACTTTAACACAATATTCAAATTAACATCAAAATCAATGTCAAGCAAATATGTAATATACATTTCTTCATGCACTTCGGGTCTTTCACCACTACTTTAATTTAAAACTCAAACTATATCGAATCAATCGATATATTTGGTGAACCGAAAAATTTCTAATTAGCTAAAATCGCTCGTTCGAAAAATGTTCTGCTCTCGCACACAAAGTTATTCGAAATGCGATGTAAAAATAGACATTTCGTGGAAAGAACTCTGTTATTTTTCTTCATCACAAAAATTTGTTGTTATAGGTATTATATAAAATATGCATATTATTTGCGCTTTTCCATGTTCCGACATCAAAGCGAAAAGTCTGACCGCTATGAAAACGCTTTTGGATGTAAACGATTCGCTTTTCAAAAAGCTCAAAGGATATGATTTACAACGGGATAAAGAATTATAGCAGTAAAAATGAACTTTTAGCACTATTTCATATTTAAGCTATAGCTCTGATAACTAAAGGACGCATAAACAACGAAAACATAATTTGTGAATCAGAATTTGTTAAAAAAAACATGAATTTTAATATTTTCTATTGTAGTGTTGTTGTAGATACCTATAAAAATAATATACTAACATAACAATGTTATTGTGCACAAAATACCCATAATAATCGCGTTGTTATTTTCAGTTGGTGTTTGTATTCCAATGTAATATTTTGAATGTAAATGCTCAATATGCTCGAAAACTTATCAATTTTAGTATTGGTCTTTGTTGTAGACACTTTTAAATATAACATACTGAAATTAAATGTATGTAGTACAAGTGGTGCGTTCTTTAGAGCTTCTTAAAAAAATCAGTCCAGCAATGCTATTTAACAGAAAAATGTTTAGTATATCTTCACCTACCTATCTTGAAAAAAAATTAATTGTGCAAATATTTCTGTAACACAAGCGCTTTGAACGCTCTGCTTTTTTACCATATTCCAGTCTGTGCCTCTCTGAAAGCATTTACATATGCAGAAAATAAATTACCCATCCGATTTCCAAGTCTGGACCATTTTTCCTACGAGATGTTTCTACAGGCACTATTTTTTTTCTCTCGGTTCGCATAAATAAGAAAAGAAAGAAAAGGATTCCTTTTGAGCCCCTCGGAGCGCCCCCTTGAATACCTAAAACGTTTTATCGGATATTTGCGTGAGGATAAATCATATAAGGAATAATAGACGGCGGTAGGACGAATTTTAATAGATCGTCTAGAATAAATAGAAAGGAATTATGGGATTTTGAAATTTTCTTATTAGGCTTAAGGGGGTTTCAGTTTTATATTAGTGCATGTTCTTTTACTGTACCAGATCTAACTATTTTTATATACACATATATATATATATATATATATATATATATATGTGTGTGTGTGTGTGTGTGTATATAGTGAGCTTTTGCGTTTGAAATTTTCAATTTTATGAAATAAGCACTTTTACGAATTATTTCGCACACACAAAAGACATAAAGTATTCTAGTATTCTGCACTTTTCCAATAATTCAGCATGAAAGTTGGAAATGGAAAAAGAATTGAACTAGAAAGCATTTCATAAAGAAAAAGCACGTTTGGTGTTGAACTGCAGATAAAATTTTAGCTATATAAAATATAGAGGATTTATATTAAATACTATAAATATTTATATTTCTTATATATATGCATGTGTGTGCGAATAAATCATTCTTTAGCAAAATCTTTTCGCAACTTTTGATTCACGTCCCATACGTGCGGCAATAACTTTATGGAATCCCTTGTCAAGAATATAAATTGATAAAATATATTCAAACCGAGATATATCTTTATATATATATATATATATATATATATATATATATGTGTGTGTGTGTGTATATATACATAAAAAGAATTTCATTTTAATTTATGTGGAGCTTTCGCAGATTTCCCGGCAAAGCGTCTCTGTCATACATATTTTCTTAATAAATTTATTTCAAAGTGTAATATATATATATATATATATATATATATATATATATATATATTATAAAGTGTGTGTGCCATCTAACTAGATCTTTATACAACTATGTTCCAATATGAATTTCATCAGACCTATAAATACTAATCCGTTTACCGTCTTTCGGATCATAAAATCTCCGGTTCCTCCTTTTTCACCTTTTTTCCATCACCATAAACTAGGTCAACCAACAAATCGACTAAACGAACCAGGGAGGAAGAGGAGACGAGGGTGGAAACGATGTTGTAAAAGCAACATTGCGAAATTCAACGATTTTTCATTAAGTAAAATTTGAAGAGATATTAAAACGCTTATTTACCAGCTGTACTATATATAGTGTAAGATCTTTATATTAATTTGCATTCGCTAATGGACCGGAGAGGCAAGGACGTAAACAAAATTGTAAAAAACGTCGTACAATTTATTTATATTCATGTTATTTTTTTATAAAATTATTCAGGCCGAGGTAGAGTACGATGTTAAAAAAAGTACACAAATATATATATGTATAGTACACAAATGTATAGTACACAAATATATATGTATACAGGTGGTTATATTTTGTATTCTGAGGGAAAATTTTAGATTTTCTGGTTTAATTTTATTTATTTATTAAAAGTCTTTTCTATAAAAATTAATTTAATTAATAATTTAGATCAAAATATCCATAAAATTTTGAAATTTTTATAGAATGTGTAATCCATTAAAAGTTACAAGAGTTTAAGAACAAATCATATATTACAATTTCTCTTATGATTTGAATCACAATCGCGATTAGTGTCGCACGTTGTTTGTTCATGTGAATAATTGCTCTTTAGAAATATATATATGTACATATATATATATATATATATATATATATATCCCCATTTTATATGTATGTATATAAATGTAGGAAAAATATTTTCCGAAAACTTTCTGTCCATAATTCACAGCGACCACAATATTATCTGATTAAAAGCACAGCTTTGGAGCAATATCGCGTTTTGCGTGATTTGAGCTTAAAACGAGCTTCTATTTTTATCATAATTCGTATACAACGCATTTCACTAATAATACTATGTATAGCCTTTTATATTAACTAATTCACTTTATTTTATATTAACTAATCGGTTATAATTGGCCAAACTGATAATAGAAAGCTATGAATTAAAATCAATACAAATTTTTACTTTCATTGACATCTTTCAAAACCTTTTATTTAAAAAAAAATCTTTTGTGTAAGTTTCTATATACATAATTATTAAAAACATCTAATTTCTAAAAAAATCATACACCTAGCTTCAAAAACTTCAAAACTATTTTTTAATTTTCAGAATACGGCAACTACTTTATATATTCATATTCGTTTCATATAATGAATATATCAATTTCCATTCATCCCTTTCAGCTTTTTGTGTGAAACTGTTTTTTAATTAACACAAATAATTTTTCTTTTTCAGATCAGAGTCGATTGAAGCGATTGAGTCCCGGAAATCCGGAAAATGTGGAAAAGTCAAGCGAAAACCTGTCGTCGAAGTTTTTAGTCGATTTAATTAAAAACTTTGAAAAGATCTATAAAAAGGTTCAGAATTAATATAACAAGGTATAATATTTTAAAGATTTGGGGTTGGTGGAGGGTGTGGTAATAAATTATATGGGATCTCCTAGACAAAAATTATGTCTACATCCAAAGTGCTAGAATATAAAAAAGCCTTCGGAAATTTGGAATTTTACTACATCTAGAGGCAAATTTTGACAGATATTGGAATATCTCTGCAACTAATTGAGATATTCCTAAAATACAAATACATTTTTAATCCTGAAGTAATATATGATGTTTCTCTCTAAAAAGTTTGAACACTTTTCAATATAAATAAATAGCCCTCAAAATAATAACTTGCAAAAAGGTTTATTTGGAACAAATATTAATAAATTCTACATTACCTCTGAAAATAAGCAATTGAGTTTGAAAATTAAAAAGGCATTCCTAGGGGCAATAGTCTAAATCTAAAAGGTGTGTTGGGTGTGGAAACGTAGTAGCTGCAGTAGATTTTATAGATCGTCCAAATTATTTTCTGTGTAAGATATCATCTTTAGAAGATATAAGCCTATCACAATTATTTAGTGGAGAAACAATGGATGAAATATTGAATATTATTGCAGATTTAAAGTCATTGCAATTGAAAGTTTTTTATAGATCTAGAAATATTTACGAACCCAATAAAAGGACTTTGATAATGGAGAAACTTTTTCAAATTTAAGACTCATGTAATAAATCATATTTAGACACTATAAGTCGCTTTTTACCGACATAAACATTCAATGCATAATGAAATATTGTGCATGTAAGTATTTTCAACTCAAGTATCATTGCTTCAAAAATGTTGTTTCCTGAAAATTATGGATATCTACCAATAGTCAACCATCCTGGTTTTATCGAAAGATGCTAGCAAACGTCATGTCCACCCCGTACCCTGCAGACTTCCAATCGAATGCAAGTCTGAAGCAGAACATCACATCGGTCGATTCAGAGAACTGGATCCAAATCTTTGCTTTAGCATTGAAAGGATCAATATTTGGAACGATCATCATTAGTGCTGTCTTGGGCAATGCCTTAGTCATCATCTCTGTGCACAGAAATAGGAAATTGAGAGTGATCACTAATTATTATGTTGTCAGTCTAGCGATGGCTGATATGTTGGTTGCTCTATGTGCTATGACTTTCAATGCGTCAGTGGAACTGAGTGGTAGATGGCTGTTTGGGTATTTTATGTGTGATGTATGGAATTCCTTGGATGTATACTTTTCGACAGCATCCATTTTGCATCTTTGTTGCATATCAGTGGATAGATACTATGCTATAGTACGTCCTTTGGAATATCCAATAACGATGACCCATAGAACAGTTTGTTTCATGTTGGCTAACGTTTGGTTTCTACCAGCTTTGATTAGTTTTACACCAATATTTCTGGGGTGGTACACGACTACGGATCACCAATTGTACAGGCAGAAACATCCTGATATTTGTATATTCGTAGTGAACAAGTATTATGCTATAATATCATCTTGCGTGTCGTTCTGGATACCTGGTGTGGTGATGATTGTGATGTATTATAAGATTTACAAGGAAGCGATAAGACAACGAAAGGCTTTATCCAGGACTAGTTCAAATATAGTTTTAAACTCTGTCCATCTTCATCACACGAGACATGCGATGCACCATTCCCACCATATGCACTATTTGCACCCAAGTGACTGCGACATTAACCTGACCATCAAGCAGATGGAAAACAGAAGAGAAAGCAGGAGTAGTATGAGTGAGCTGGATGTCCCAGGCAGGCGCAGGGATGATGACACAGGTAGTAACATCACGGAAATTAAATTAGGCATCATAGATAGCTCAGAAAGTCCAGTGCGTGCTGGAAGTTTGCAAGATCTGAGTATAAAATTGACAGTGAATAATAACAGTATCAACGATTTGTCATCGTTAAAACTGAATAGGAGGTTTAGCAAAAGTAGTGATGACGTGACAACTAAAGGTGAACAAGAACGTTTAATAAGTAGTTTAAGTGAACCTTTCGATACAGACTTTGGAACCTTTACAAGAACTTTTCTAGCTTCGACAAAACCTAACATACTCATCAACAGTCACGGAACTTTAAGCCAATACTATAAGGATTGCGATGAGAGAAATGGAGGTGCCAATGTCGATGTGACCACTGTTGCTGCAGAGGATGTAGTTAATGTGGAAAGAAGAAAGAATAGTGTCAGTTATAATACTAGTGTTGTGAATTATTATGCGGATCCTATGGATGCGCCCCCGAGGAGCGCTAGGCATTCCACCAGCTCGACGAGTACCTACCTAGGGGGCACGCAGAGGGCCTCGGAATTGAACTTTAATGGTAAGTTTTTTATTGCTCAATGATAGAATGTAACTACATTAATTAAATTAATTTTATTCATTTACTAAGCGTTACAAAAAAAAAACAACTGAGATCAATTTATTATGATATTTTAAAATATTTTACGCCATTGGCCTGATTTCTGGCTTAGCCCTAAAGGACGTCGTCATTGTCGCCTGAGGTACAAAATATGTAGAACTGTCGCCGTCCAATTCCGTAAACCTCACAGGTGGTCGACACACTGAAAATAATAAGTCAAAATTAATACATACTTTTTGATAATTTTAATTATTTGTGCAAATTATGCAGCAAAACATTGCATAATTTAAAGTGAGAGCATACTATATAATTTTATTACAATTTTAGAATATTTTAAATTCAACTCTGTACTGCAACAGTATGTAGTTCAAAATTTGTCCTGCAGAACTCAAAAGTATCAAGACTTATTACAGCGTTGGATTAATGTTTTTAACAACCACTAAAACGCTGGTTGTTAATATATAAAAAAAAACTCTCACAATTTTTACAAAATTATAATATAGAGATCATAATATAAAATACTAAAATTCTATATTTATACTATATCATAATCCTGCTCTGCCTTCGTTATGTCTTTAACGATAATTTCTTCGTCGGAATTGTTTTATTCGTCTGGTGCCCTTTCGCAAGCATCCCCTCCTTCGTGGGGCGAAATGGCAAAAGTTTAATCTTTTGCTTTAGAAAGTCACTTTTAGAAAGTTCTCGTTTCAAGATATTAATATCTAAAACTTCTATTATTACGGCCGACGGGCATAAAACAACAACGAGCCAATAGGCTTAGATTGTAATTTACATTCACGAGTTCACGGTTAAAGTTTCGTGGCTTGGAGACAAAAAGAAAAGGATTACAGGATTAGTTTTGTCTTGGAAGGGTTTGTAGTAGAAAGTTGTAATTTTAATATATTATTCCTCGAAGTGTCTTCTATGATAACAATTAATAAAATTAATGGGTTTTGTCGCAAAATTTTAAATTATAACAGAGTGGATTAAACAAGTGTGTATAGGCGGGTAGAATCGTTAATCCGTTCATATTCGAAGAACTGAAAGGAAGCGCAGTTTTTACTACAACCTTAGAGTTTGGATATGTTATACTCAAAAGCATCTACGATGATACTTTTACTACCAAAGTGTAAAAGTCTTCTTGTTAAATTTTAAGTCACAAGAAATTTATTATACTTGGTTACCAATATAATTGCAAGAATGCGCCTGTGACAGGATAATAATAAAACTTTCAATAAGCTGTACGATGTGGTAATTTTGGTGTTAAGTACCTAAATATAACTGAAACAATTATTAATACTATAATAGTAGCATTTTTTTGAGAGGTGCATATTGTGGGTTTTAGTAAGTGAAACAAATATTTAATCTTTTAAATAGTTATCAATTTTTCATTTTCTGGTATTTAATAATTTTTAACTCACTCTACAGAACTTTTTCCTAACTATCTTATGATTAAATTTTTATTAAACCTATATTAAAAATAAGATTTTTCCGAAGTAATTCAATTTAAAGATGACACAGGATTGGATTAAAGACTTATATATGCAAAATGGGAAAGGATTCTCAATACATACATACGAAGGAATATGTACATATAATATAATATAATATAATATATATATATATATATATATATATATATTATATATATATATTATATTATATATATATATATTATATTATATATATATATATATATATATATTATATTATATTATATATATATATATATACATGTATATCTTATATATAAAGTTCTTCTGTATACGATTATTCGGATTTTAATAAATTTTTGTGAAGTTTGTTAAGGAAATTTTTTAGAATTTTTTGAATTATAGAAATATAGTAATATTGTAAAAATAAATGGCAAAAATTACAAAAAATCACTTATTTTTGTTTGGCATTGAGACCATTTGAACGGTCATCTACTAAAAATGTCAATTCACTTGAAATTTGAATTTAGCTGAAATTATGAGCCTAGATAATATTAGAATATAATATTCAGGAAAAATGTAATGTCTACATTATTATTGCCGAAAAGCAGTTGAAATGTGCCAAAAATTCAAATAATATAAGATACAGTATATCAAGAATGTTTTGTATGTATTTCTTCAAAGTGACTATTATAACAACAGATTCTAAAATTAATTTGTTTTATAACAAAATTTAGGGATTTTGTCAAAATGTGTCTTTTGTATATATGCGGTTAAAAACACTACCTCATCGTTGGACGTAATTTTCAATTAACTGTATTGGGTATACCGTTTGTACTACTATCTTGTAATGTCAGTACGTTATTAATCAAAGTATCTATTTAGATAACAAATAATAAAATTGATGTGTTTTCTAACGAAATTCCGAATAATAATCCAAGAGAACTATAAGAATTGCCTCTGTCTGCCCAGACTTCTCGGCGCCTCGGCATCGGTTCTCCTTTCCATTTATTAGATTGTTTTCTCGGCTCGAAACGAAATATAAGCCTTAGGGGGCTCGAGGGGAGACTTATTCTTCATATCCTCCGCCTCCTCAGGGTTATACCTTATACCTTATACTTATACTTCATTCTGATATATCGAATTTGATATCATTTGTCTTTTATTGTTTATTGCAGTTCGTAAGTTTATCCGTGTTCTCATCAATTTCGACGCTTTAGGACAAGAAAACATAAGAAAAGGGATCCCGAGGGAAAACAAGACATAAAAACACCTTCTCACACCCCAAACTCACACACACACATAAAATATATATTTATGTATATATATAAGATAAATATTTGGCATTAAATCTAATAAAAAATAAGAGTACAATAAAAACAAAACATTTACGAGAAACATTTTGAAAACATACTCATAACTCAAAATGTTATCATAAAATCCATGAATTTTGATAAGATACTTTGAGATATCACGTACTCAAATTACAAATTTGTTGTACAAGTAGATAATATGGTAATACCTAATAAAAATGTTACCTGATTACTGTTTACTACTATATTAATCAATTAATATTAGTATTAATAGTTATAATAGACACTTAGAGATATAACATACTTAAATTAAATAATTGTAGTGTTAATGGTGCGTCCTGTAGAGCTCGTTAAAATTATCACCTGACTATATATTCGTCCTTGCACAAAATGTACCATGTTTATCAAAATAATGCTATTTTGATCAAAAGAGTTATGTCTTCAAATTTCGTTAGAAAACCCATCAATATTAGCGTTATTTGTTTTAATATTGAGTTACATTAAATAAGTTATTTAAAACTACTGATTTTCTGATCGTGTCTGATAACTTCTTCTTAATTCAAAATTTTGTTCGAAAACATATCATTATTAATATGTTCTAATACAATACATACTTTGAGGGATAAAATACTAAAATTTGAAGATTGTAGTAGAAATTCTGTAGAGCTCCCCGAAAATAACCGTGAACGAGCATATTGAATGAAAGTTTTATGCACAATAAAGTATAGTGTTTTATAAAAAATTTATAACAAAAAATATTTTGCATTAATTTTGTGTAAAGTATTTTCCATTGTGATAAGTACTTTGAGAATACTCGAATTTGAAGATTTTAATTTAAACGGTGCGTCCTATAAAGGTCCTCAAAAAACAGTAGATTTCCTCGTCGTGTTAATTAAAATTTGTACAGGGAGACAGTTAATGCCAAATTTAGTAAAATTCTTTCTTCATAAATTGGTATTTGTTTCAACAATAAGCCCTTTGAGTATGACAAAATTATTATAAGTTTGTGGTATAAACGGTTTATCAGAAATTCAAATAAATATAATTTTCTTATTGACTCATTTCGGTTCCAAAAAATCTTATCATTTATTTACACAGTGTGTGATATTTGACTAATCAAACATTATTTGTAATATCTCACACTAACACCTGTGTACTATTTATAATAGTATTTCTTAGAAAACACCATATAAGCATAAAATAATGCTTTATTTTGCTTTTATTGAGAAGCAATAAAATTTCTTGGAAGTTAATTAATAACATAGCACTTATAAAACGCTTTGTTGAAAAATGTTTATAGAAACATTTTTAGTTTTCCACTGTGATTTTAGAATATACCGGTTTAAAAACAATTTAATTTTGTACAAATATTTCAAACACATCTTTCATATCAATCAGTATATGTATATATATGATGTGCATATATAGTGTGTAAGTTTAGTAAAGTAAAGTGGACAGGCAAAGTAACAAATGAAGAAGTCCTGAGAAGAGTGGGCGAAGAAAGGACTCTACTGAGCACAATTCTGAGAAGGAAAGGAAACTGGAACGGACCTCTTTTGCAAAAAGAGTGCCTCCTACACGACGTCGTCGAAGGTAAAATAGAAGGAACAAAAGGAATGGGAAGAAGAAGAACGCAGACGATTGACGACTTACGCGAGAAGAGAAAATACAGGGAACTGAAAGCCGAAGCACATGATCAAGAAGCATGGAAACAAAAGTTTGGAAAGGAAAATACATGAAATAAAAAAATGGGGATAGAGAATAGTGGTAATGGGATGAAGGGCAAGGAAATCATTTGTTGTGGTGGCTCTCACACCCTGGACCTGCCTTCGGGCAGACTACCATTTATTATTATTTATATGTAAGTTTACTCACTTGGAATGTTTTCATAATTGCTGCCTTTATATCCCCTGGTTTCCAACTCATATTCGTGCAACATTTTCATATTCTTCTGCACTCTACAGTTGTACAAACAGACACTTCCGCCGACGAGCAACGTTGTGACCACAAAAGTTCCGAAACAACAATACAGAAGCTCCAGGAAAGTATATCGCTGGTTGATCATAGGTATCGGAGTTGTTGGTACGTCTTCTGTTGTCGATTCCGGAACTATTGGTTTATCAGGAGTTGTTGGTAACTCTTCAGTTGTCAATTCAGGAGGTTTGGGTTTATCAGGAGTTGGTGTTACGTCTTCCGTTGTCAATGGCTCTGGAGTGGTTGCTAAAGTTCCCGGAATTTCTTGCGTTATAGATGTAGTGTTTTTCTTGATAGTCCAAAACGTACTTTTGTAGTTTGCTAATTTAGATGAAAAGTCTTCTGATAAGCTCGCGTCTAAAGCTACATGTTGGATGTGCTGATTAACTTCAAGAAACTCGTCAACTTCAAACTCTTTAATATCATTATTAGTTAAGTCCAAATTGATATACCCACGTTTACCAAATCTGATTGTGATTTTGTTCAAATTTTCTATCTTGTTACCAGATAAATCGATGCTGATAAAACCATCGTTCAATTTAATTGCGATATGTGATATCAAATTATCGTTCAGCTTCAAGGTGTTTAATTTTAGGCAATTGGTACAATCCAAATCGCTGCTGATGATATTTCCGGAGGCGTCTATGTATTTAATTTTGCTTAAAGGCCAGAACAACAAGTTTACATTAGAGATGTTATTACGCGCTATCAATAAGTATTCCAAATTCATCAAATTTGCAAAAATTTGGTCGTCAATTAAAGAAATTTCGTTAGATGATAAGTCTAAATATGATAAACCTGTTGATGTTAAAAATACATCTTGGTTCAAAGTTTTTATCATGTTTCCTGATAAAATCAAACGTTTTAAATTAGATTTGTTTCTAAACAATTCTGGATGTACGGTCGTAAGTTTGTTGTTGGCTAAACTTACCATCTCTAAAACGTGATTGGTGCCAAAAGCATTAAACACCAGGGTTTCAATCTCATTGTTGCCCAAGTGTAGATATTTCAAATTCCCTAAACTGGCAAGATCGTCACCGCGTATTGATGTTAATTTGTTGTTTTGTAAGTTCAGTTTTATTAATTTGTACTCTTTAGTATGTGCATCAGAGCCGTTGGGACCACGAAAAAAATTTTCAGGGAGCGTCGTAATTTGGTTCCAACTCAAATCCAATGCTCGTAGTTTTGTTAAATCACTAAAGTCGTACTGTATATCGTGGATCTGATTGTGGTGCATATACAAATCTTGCAAACCCTCCAACCACTGCAACTTGTCCAATCCTAGCTCGATTTGATTGTAGGACAAATCAAGGAATATCAGTTTTGGATGCAAATCCGGTACTTCGTTTAGAAGATTTTGTGTAATCATCAATGTTGTCAACTTTTTCACATTGGCAAACACACTTTTTTCAATTGTTCGTATATTGCAACGTGTAAAATTTAAAACAGCCAAATTGGTGTAGTTGATAAATAGTTCTTCGTTTGATTCTGGCAAGTATCTGGGCAGCTCCGCTAATTGGCTGTCTTTCAGATCTAATTTGTTGACACTTTGGGGATTTTTAATCACTAACCAATCCACTAAATTAACATTCCAACACTCGTGTTTTAATTTACTTTGTTTACACTCACTATTAACACCAGTTACCGCCAGAATCACAACAACCATGAATGTGAATAACATTTTACACTTTTTATTGACATTACTTGCTTCTGAAACCATAGAAATTGCAACTGATATGATTGTAAATGGAATTTTGGAGTATTTGTTGCATTTGTTGTTGTGACAACATCCGCAGACGGATAAGTCAATAGATTCGATTCGCAACTGACATTCTATCGGAGTCTTATCTTTGCGATTTCTCTTATCAAATGATTAGAAAAATGACTTCAAGATAATTCTACGTAATTTATTAATCAGCGTTTTGAGGTGTAAAATATTGACGGGCGATACAATGATATTTCACATTATTTTTTGGGCATGCGTCAACCTGTGTGCTTTAAAGTCGGTCCAGAAAATGAAGAAATAATTTGAGCGCTTTCCTGATTTGTAATAGCTTTTGTAACTTTCAAACCTTTCATTTGATATTAATAGTTTTTTGAGAGAGTTTGTACTAAATTAAATAATTTTTATATTGTCTTACATTAATTGGTATTAGAACAACTTGGCATACTTAAAAATCTCGTTTAAAAATTGTTCATGAAAAAACAGTCGTATTTTATTGATTTTGCGGATGTAGCTTTTCTTATTGTTAGATTGAGATAATTTTTGTGGAGCACTTTATATAGATAATATTTACTAAAAAATAGTGCTTTTTGTTAACTGAGCGCAAAAATATAAAAGCGTAGGAAGTTTGCAAAATTATAAAAAGCGCTCTTTATCATTTGAATATTTTGTTCTCAGAATTTGTTTGTTGTAGAAGGCTGTTATTTGGGTATGTTGTATCCAGACCCTTGTTTTAAATTGTAAAATTACTAACCTACATCAGTCAGTAATAAAACAAAATTCTATTAAACAAGTTTTTGCATATTTACTACTGTTTCTGCGTGTATATTTCGCTCGTATATCCTAGAATCTTGAAATTATAAAAATACTAAGCAATACTATTTGGTAGGATTTATTGACTTGTTTATTACAAGGGTTCTGCATTTAGGTGGTGCACCTTGTTGTTTATGCGTCAGTTCTCAGATCCTATTTATAGCACAAAACTATAATTTGTATATATAAAATACTGAGAGACTTGTTTTAAATTATTTTATTATTATAAAAATTCTAATCACACTATAACAAAACCTATGTTTGTACGGAACCTGCCTTCAGCGTACCTGTATTTCCAATCTAAAATAATCGAACCGGGTCACTATATAGATATTCCCTGTAAATTTTGTAATTAACACGTACGAATCTGTCGTGATCCGAGTCTGTTTGCATTTCGCGTGCAAACAATCGCTCGGAATGATAATTTGTGCAAATATTTTCGATCCTTTCGTCAAACATTGAATATAGTAGACGGCGAACCGCGGATTTAATTTAATATGCTACTTTTTATTTATTTATTTCTATTTATATATAGACTGGTAGTATTAAATGTATTATATATATATATATATATATATATATATATATATATATATATCTTAAAACATTGTTATTTTGCAGGTTCTTCGACGGCTCATAGACCTCCAAAAAGTTGGAGAGCTGAGCACAAAGCAGCTCGTACTTTAGGAATTATTATGGGAGTTTTTCTTATTTGTTGGCTGCCATTCTTTTTGTGGTAAGGCTTATAACTAGTATTAATTAATAATTATATATATATATATATGTGTGTGTGTGTGTGTTTGTATGTTTACATCGACAAATTTATTGTATATATATGCGCTTCGGTATATCTATTCTAAGTTAATAACCCATTCCCCCAAGGGGGGCGTTTGGAGGTGTTCCAATCTCTCTCTGGTCTCTCGAGGTGTTCTGGGGATTCCGTACAACGATGAAACAATGTGTGAAAGGCTTTCAGTCAACTTCAATACACCGTCTGCGATAATTTATGAAGACAGAGTAGACTGAATTGAAAGGGGGTGCGCTTGAGGGAATCTTGAGAGAAAATTTGCAAACTGGTCAGAAAGATATAAGAAATAACAAACCCACGAGCACAATAGCTATTGAAAAGTGAAATCTTGTTATTACAAATATTAATTAACTTTCTAAAAGAGTTGAAGTTATTTTGTAGCATTTAAGGTCTTCTTCAAAGAAAGATTTGCAATTATCATTTACCTAATTGCTAATTTTTTTGCCCAGGTACGTGATCACGACCCTCTGCGGAGATTCGTGTCCGTGTCCTGATGTGGTGGTGGCGACACTATTTTGGATTGGATACTTTAACTCTGCACTCAACCCACTGATCTACGCTTATTTCAATCGAGATTTCCGCGAAGCTTTCAAAAATACCCTGAAATGCGTCTTTCCTTGTGCAGTTCGTCAGAAGGATTCCTCGCATCTGCGTTATGTATAGCGATAGTGGACACGCGTCCTTCTCAACCTGAATCCTATCTCTTTTCGATCCTGATCTACTTCGGGCTGGTGGATCATTAGCAATTGTTCTAGTTCCAATATTATATCCAAAACTTGAGGTATTTGTAGGTATGTCTGATGGATTTATTAGTGGTGATATTTATGGAACTAGGACAGTGGCTGGTGATGATTTTGGAACTAGAGCTAGAAAACTACGAATGTTATCTTTATCTATTTCTTATCTTATTCTACTTACGCTGATGATAATTCTAGCACAACTTTAATTGCAATATTGTAATATTATTATTTCTCTCCAATATTGGTATTTACTGGTATACTCTTTATGTTTCTTTTTTAGGGTAATTTGTATTGATCAATTTGAAATGCTTTTGATGTGTGAATTTTACTCTAATCTGCTTTGCTAATCTGTTTATAATCATAATTTCGGGACTAATAGTCGTTGTTATTAATGATTTTGGATGAAATTATTATATCTTACGTTACACATCAAAGCTCTTGCTTAAATATCTGGCATTATCATCAGTTTTGTAAATATTTTTAAAAATAGTTAAAATCTAACGGATAAAACTTAGTCTATGACGACTGATGGACAGCAAGCGACAATTTTTAGTATAAATTGTAAGTAAATGTGATGTTAGGATTAAAATTAGTTTATAGATTATGAAAATTACCTACTTTTCAAAAAAGTATTTATTATAGTTTACTTAATGCACTAGAGGATTGATGATTTGTGATGAAAAATTCAAGGATTTGTTATTAAAGATTTGTTCATATATAATATCTTTGTTTGGGATGATCAAATTTAAATTTTTAAAACAAATACCTTGCATTTGTATAATGATAAATCTCAATTATTTTTTAATGGACTAAATGGTATTTCGTTCTGCTAATTTAACAAAAATAAATTTCTGGGAAATTTTTTTGCATGTTTTGTGATAAAGAAAAAATATGTGATACAATCAATTTTTTGGATTAACCCCTATTAGCTATCTTAAGATTCGTGATTTTCTTGTAATTTTCTATTGTCATGAATTGAAATATTCTGTAATAAAGCAACTTAATATATATAAATATATATATACCATTGAGTATAGATAATTAATCTAAAAGCACGTCTAATAACTCTAAAAATAAGAAACACTAAGGAAGGTGTAAAGTACATGCTCCAATATATTTTTGGGTAGCTAATATGGATTAATGCAATTAGAACTATATTTTGCACTATGTATACTAAATAATAGTTGTTAAGCTAATTGAATTATATATGATATTATTTATATATAGAATTTATATTCTATAATGTTTGTTTTGTGATATTTTTAGTAAATTCAACTTTTGTATAACAATTTGATGTTTAGATAAATTTAGATAGAGTGTGCGAATGTTTGGAATCAAATAGAAGCAATTTGTAAATATTTAAATATAACTGAAAAAACTGCAATAAATATAATATTTTAAGATGTCGAGGGTAAGCAAAGCTTTTAGCAATAACTAATTAATTTATATATAAATGTATATATATATATATATATATATATATAATTAAACACATGCGTTAGTTCGTTTGTTACATATATTATATTTCTATGATAAATTCTGTTTTTAAATGGGATATTTGAAAATTACTTTTAATTTGTATCAATTTCAACGAACTAAAATTTCGCAGATGTTATACTGATTCATAATATTTATGAATATATATAAATATATACATATATATACACATATATATACTTATACATATATGTATATATATAAATATATACATATATATATATATATATATATATATATATAATATATAATTCAAATATATTTTTGTTTGAGAGCAATATAAAAAGACTGTAGTATAAGTTCTTGAATATATATATGAAACAAATATGAGATTTCACTCTTACAATCTTACAAATATTCAAAATATTCATTTACTTATGCACACAGATCATTTGGGATGAATAAAAACAATCTATCTAATGTTGATTGGTTAACCATTGAGTTGCTATCTAAATACTGCGTAGAAGAAAAAGTTCGAGCACAACAGCTCACAGGTCGGAAGTTCTGAGTACAGTATGAAAAAAAATCAATCATCAATCAATCAATTCATAATATGAAATTTTATTACCAAAAATAGATGTTTCACATATTAAATAATTTAACAGTACACGACAACTTTTAATCTAATCATTCAATTTATTTGTCCAATTATGAACAATATTTTTCAGCAGCCTCCAAACCATCTGATGCATTTTGGAGGAGGAGCCATTAATGGTCCTATCATCTGGACCAACCAACTGGCCAGGCACACTATGAAAATCAAAAGAGCTGTGCCCAGAAATGCTAAGGCGTATTCCTGTTTCGGTATCAACGTTGCGAGCAGATAATCCCAGACGGTAGCTTGTTCCTCAATTGATGGCGTTTCGCAAATCTGGGTAAGGTATGTATAAACAGAAATAATTAGGAGGTAAAATTATTAGGAGATTGTGGATTTATTGTTCTTTACATGAAAGGTTTTTTATTAGAAGATGAATGGTTATATTTATTAATTTGAATATTATAAACTATTGTATTATTTACACTACAAGAAACTGGGTATCTTTATTTTCAGTTACTATTGGTACACGATATTGATAGTCTTCTTCATCATCATCATCATGGACGTATGGCTGTTGTTCGTAATCATCTGCAAAAAAATGATACACGATGCCATTATACAATTTTAGGTATATATAATATATATATATATATATATATATATAATGTTTTATTTGTTTGATATACTTAATGATCTTCTCTGGTATTTTTATGAACCGGCCTGGTGTTACCAATACACTTTTTGACGATACAATTTAAATTAAAAAATTAACTTTTCTAAGCTTTCTCTAATATACATATATAATATTTAAAGTTAATAAGTTTTATTTATACAAGTATTAATAATTTAAGAGTATTTTGATTATTGTGATGCGGTAGCACTGGCCTGGCTTTCACATGAATC